AAACTTTACGTTGGTATTCTGTGAGAGCGTAGTCTTTCCCGATTGAACTGACCCGTTCGTGCTACAACCATAATATAGCTGTAGCGTGACAATACCACGTATAAGGAGTTTTATGTAAGAAATTGTCGGCCAATTTAATAAATGGCGGCGTAGCACGAAATGCCCAAGATGATCACGATCTGTCATATACTACGATCATACTACCACACACTACACATTTCTTTCGGTATTTCATGAAATGAGTGAGCGTTGGTCAAACAAAACCTTTTTTATAATTACCACAGAAATCTAACTAATAAGGCACTCATTATTTAGATTTCTGTGATAATGACGAAACATACAATTTTCCGATGGTAGTTCGCCCCGGCTTCGCAGGGGTGATTTCTGGATCTCGAACAGCGCCACCTACTGGTTTTAATTATGAATCTAAACCATCCAGGAATCAACTCTAACACATAAAAAATCATGAAAATCATCAGCCATCTTCGAGTTATTGCGAGAGTAACGGGCAAAATTAATTTTTATAATATGTAGATGTTTGTAAATACTTGAGATTAAGTTATTCAATTCATAATACATATTTTGGCAATATGGAAATACATCATAACATTCATTTAAAGTTAAAGAACAATAAATCTTTATGTTAATGCTGCCGTGGAAAATGACCTATTTGCTCATTCATATTACGCCCTATAATTGCGTGCGACACGCGCTTTTGTTGCGACAGGCAAATTTTTCTTGCAAATGTTCCGTTGTGAAACTTACTAGTTAAATTTTTAATTATCGCACAAAATTAATGAAGGTGGTTGATTCTAAGCACATTTTTGATAAATTGTGTTGACTGTATGATTACGAGAAATTTTAGTTGTGTTTGATTGCGTGATAACGATTCCTATGAAAATGTTTTTACACTTAATTTAGTCTAATTCGCGCACTTAGCTACTGAACTACCACGGCTAGATTATACAAGTACATAGGGGTATTCCATTTTAATTAATTTCCCGTCGATTCCTTGTGTTAGGAAAGTTCTCATTACACCGACAAAAAACTGTCGCGAATATCTTTAAAAGGCACAAACATCAACACTCGCACTATGCGGCGCTTTTTATGACTATCGCAACTTTCTTCTAACGTTTCCACTAGGAGCGAAGCGACTCTAGGTTTTTCACTGCGTAGTTCAAATGGAATAGAAACTTCAAGTAACTATGTCTTACTAGTGTTGCTAATCTCGTTGTAACTAATGTCTTCCGAATTGAATTTCGGTCACGGCATCCAGTCGCAACGGAGATCAGTCATCTTCGCAGAAAAGGATTATAATGCACGGATGTGTGCCCAAGCTTACTATTCCTTCTGCCGCGTATTCCAGTAGGAGCGTCAATCCTATATGTACGTAAAGAGATCAGGCGCAGGATCTTTACGTGCTTTCTTAGACTGCAAATTTCCTAACATCGGGCTGCTACTGAGAATTTCTTGACGTAGAAACCTAACAACTGATTTTAGCCCGAGATAGCGGTTGCACTTACAAATACTAGACTCAGTCAAATGGTTTAAACCATAGAAAACTATAATACATATATAATAGAACGGGGGGAGTGGACGGAGCTCGTGTAGTCACTAACATGTCACTAACATGCCAATTCACACCTATATATGTCAACACAATCAAGCGTTTCCAATTTTCGTGTCAAGCGTCGCTGCATGTAATTTTATTTAAAAAATGGCAACATTTGCAATAATTACGTGTCGAAAGAACAGCAGGAAATGGAATTTAAATAAAGGAGACATACCCTACAACCAGTAAGTCGAAACTATTTATATTTTGTGTATATAAGAAACAAAAATAAAGAAATATTTGTGTCAAATCAGTCTGTCAACACAGCGAATCGGGTTTGTAGTAGTGATAAATGATAATACGACGTAATTGCTTGTATGTGTGCTCCCGGCGACGCTGATCCTCGTACAGAATAAGGATGACAGACATTCTATTGTGTATTATAGTATTAACATAAACACTCACGCCTGTCACCCAGAGGGGTAGGCAGAGACTACAGACTTCCATTTGGCACGATCCTGACACACCTCTCTCGCCTCCTTCACATCCATACACCTCCGCATACATGCTCGTCGGTTAAGGGTACTCCTAATTTGGCCCGTTTTCAATAAATCGCCAATTTGTTCGATAAATTTTCGCCTAGGACGTCCCTTTCCGACTCTGCCATTCACTTCTGCAACATAAATTTTCTTTGTCACTCTTTCCTCATTCATTCTTTCCACATGACCAAACCACCGAAGCATTCCTTTCTTAATCCTGGTCACAACATCATCTTGCAAACCACACTCTTCTCTTATTACACAATTTCTTACCCTGTCATTAAGATTCAGCCCTAACATACTCCTTAACGACCGCATTTCTACTGCGTTCATTCTACTCTCGTGCTTCTTCTGCCACACCCAACTTTCACTACCATACGTTAAAGTAGGGACCAACACAGCATTGTGAATTGCCATACGTGCCTTTTTCGACACATTTTGACTCTTCACAATAGAGTGCAGGGCCCCATTTACTCTATTTCCCGCATTCACTCGTCGTTCTATATCCTTATCATATCTCCCATCCCTGCTAAATACGCAGCCCAAATATACAAACTATGTATGTATATTATAGTATTCTATGGTTTAAACGATACTTAAATAAATAAATGAGCTACATCTTCAAGCGATTTCTAACAATGAAGGCAACTGATCCGTTGCTATCCCCGAGCACTAAATGAAAAAATAATATAGTGATATTGTATACCGCTTCTCTTTCGCTCTTCCTTCAATGCGGAACACAACTGTGAATAAACTGAAGCTGGGTGGCAGTAAGTAAGAACATTATGCTATCCTGTACAGACTCTGAATGAAGAGAAGCCACCACTGGCCACCACCAAGTAATACCATTAAGGAAAAAGCAATACCACGAAGAAAACCAAGATTTAATGAATCCTTTAAAAACTTATGCTAGTTAATTAACATAAATACATTGCAACTGCGACAATCCCTTGTAATAATTTATCGAACATGAAGAATTACTGACATAGATTTTATGTAAATAGGTATTGAATCAGTCGTCCAGTGTTTCCTAGTTTACCTATCAAAAGCCGACCGCCAACCTTGACAATCATTTTCAATAAGTCGTCTGTTCTTTGCATTAAATATGACTGTCTGTTGTACTCATTTTTGTATCAAATATAATATAATTTTGTATTATTTATTAGATAAAACGCTTAAATACAAATATAACAGGCGTGATACCGTTAATGTTACAGCCTTTTAAAGTCTACTGCTGAACATAGGACCTCCCCAATAGATCGACTCATAGGGGGATATTTGCCATAGATTAATAACGTTAAGAAGATATCTGGAAAACGAAACGTAATTTTGGGGGCTTGGCTTATCCCTTTGTCGGTGAAGCTCACGGACGACTGAGTGAGTGTCAAAATGAAAGTGATGCAATGACTTCATAATACGCAAATTATGAGTTAGCTATACCGAGAACGCGCTCGGAAAAAAACTAAGTAAGCGCCAAACAACATTTTTATTTTTTTGACAAAACTTTGTTATGGATTTAAAGAGGTTAATGAGAAATTAGATATGAATATTTACTATGCCTTAAAAATAATTCCATGCACTTATTCGTAAAAATATTGTGGCATCATGGAGAAATGTAACTAGTTAGAGTTCTTACTATGCAATTCATTTCTATCGAGAAAATTACATGGTATCGTGTTTTTCTTTTGTGAAATCCAAGGACATATAGTCAAAAATCATATCCCAAAAATTTGGTTCGTAATCTATAAAACTTAAAAAAATATGTGAAATAGAAAACTCACCAAATTTTCGAGGTATCACATTACCGGTTAATCTATTTTTTTTTTCAATATTATAAGCCAGTACTTAACTACTGTCAACATTGATTAACAAAAAACGAATACCGCGTTAATATAGTACTTACACTAATGAGTAAAATGAATCATTTCGCATTTGAAGATGAACATCACTAAAGAAAAGATACTCACGATTAATTCATTTGGGTTAACGTTTTGTAACTTATGGCTTTTATGAAATTAGGCCACTTACGTTCGCTGGTAGCGGTGGCGTAACCTTGGCAACACACGTTGGTCCCAACGTTGGCCCCAACACCACTCACCCAACGTGAAGATAGTATTAGCCTAAAGGTTGGCGCGAGTGTTGGCAGTTGGCCGGCGTCGGTTTTATCAAAGGAAATATCAGTTTTGTCCACAAGTTGGCTACCTCTTCAGTTATGTCGCACAGACCCAAGTTAAGTGCGTATGTTAAGGTTTCGTCCTTCAATTATAGTTGATCTTTTCTCGAAATTATTAAAATGTAATGTACATGTAACATAATATACATGTTATTAAAAATTCATGATTGGTAAGTTTTTAATATGAATACTTTACAAACATATATTTAAATTAGGTTAGGTTCCCCGGTTAAAACTAACTTCGTGTCCTAGAGGAAAATAGCTACTTACGATTTGACAGCGCTTACCGCTTACGATCACCATTTTGCTTACAAGCGCTTGCTAGCGCTTTTTTCTGCCAAACGCACCCATTGACTCTGAATAGACTCAAATGGTGTACTGGCTAACGTGTGGTTGCCTAGCAAATTAACCAGCCAACACTGATACCAGAGTTGAGATCAACGTCCGGAGTCGGAATAAGCGAATCCACCACCCATGTTATCATCTCGTGGGTGTCGCCATAGAAAATAGAAATTTAATAGTAGAAAGGCAGCAGCATCTTCTGCGATAACTAATAATTACCGACTTTAATAATCTAACGTGATCGTGTATTTTGAGACACAGCTCTCCAGTTGCCCGATTACTATCTTTCTTCTTTCGAATAATTTGCTTATGCCGCCAACATACGTCGCACAAATGTTATTTTAACACGTCAATTTTATTGTTATTCATACTTTAAATATATTATTTTTCACAGCAACATCCAGATCGATCTCATCCACAACAGCAGCGCCAATATCTCGACGTCCGTTCCGTGTAGCAAGTCGCCGTCGACCAGTTTCCACCACTAAAACCACCTCCACAACTACAACCTCCACGACTACCACCACTCAATCTACAACCAATGTTCTAGACAGTGAAGAATTTTTACAACACATTGAAGATACAGGTAAGGACAAAAAAACAATCGTTTATTACATAAGTATTTATTATTTCGTTGATCTTGTGGTCGTAAGTGTGACTGCTTAAGAGCCGATCCTCATTATAATACCCTTCACAGTTCGTTCTCGGTCCGGTCTCGGTCTGATACAATATTATCAAGTAGAAAATATTTGTGTGCATTCATACCATAGAATACTATAATACATACATAATAGAAAGGGGGAGTGGGCGGAGCCCGTGTAACCACTAAAATGTCACTAACACCTCAATTCACACGTATAAACGTCAACATGAGATGTATTTTGACGTTACAATCGTTTCCAAATTTCCCATGCAAATTATTTAGAAAATGCCAAATTGCACGCTATTTACAAATAAATATATATTAAAATCTGTCTGTCAACACAGCGAATCGGGTTTGTAGTAGTGATAATACGACGTTATTGCTTGTATGTGTGCTCCCGGCGACGCCTATCGTCGTATAAAATAAGGTTTACAGCCATTCCATTGTGTATTATAATATTCTATGATTCATACTATCCGGTGAAAGTCAAGTTTCGGTCGAATCCCATTCCATCATAATAAATCAGACAGAGATCGGACCGAGAACGAACTGTGAACGGCAAATGAGGAGCGACCCTAAAAGGTAAGTCAAACTTATAGAACCTTTTCGTACCACAAAATTTAACCCAACTTTTACTGACTACGAGGATCGATGTATAATAGCAGACGTCTGTTTTCTAACAAAAATCGTATAAAGTATTTTTATTTGGATTGTCCGGAGCTTCTCACTAAAATCTCAATAAGAGTAAATAAAAAGCAAAAAATGTGTTACTTCATGTTCCAACTTATACTAAATAGACAAATAACATTTATACTAAGAGCTTTGTGATTGTTTACTAAGTATTCTGAAAACTAACGATTTAGACTTATTCTGTCAGTACTAAGAGCATTAAATCTACCCTCACAATAGATTTTGTAAGTCGTATCTATGGAAGCCATATGATCAGTTACAAATGTAACTGTAAACTCCCCCGAATTTAATTATAGTATAATATATATATATATATATATTCAAAATAATTTCAGAATCTATTGAAAATCAATCTAAATCCTCGGGTTCTAATACGAAGAACAGGAAGATCCAAAGGCGTCCGCTGATTTCTTTGAAGGTTGAGCAAGATCAAAATCCTGCCGCTACGAGTGAAGAGGAGAAAAAAAGACAGAGTAAAAAATATAGCTCCAGCTTCAAGCAAAATCAGTTAGATGAAGTGCTAAGACTCAAGGCTCAGGATGCGTACGATGTCGACATAGACCCGACAACCGAAGGGAAATTCACAGTTGAAGGTAAGAATTTCTTTCAAAGCACTAATATTCGTTTTATTACACTTTGAAAAATCTTAACTTCATACACATTTGTTAATTTTTTACAGGGTACTTTCAGAAAATTTGAAGTCAATCGCCCCGTAAAATAAAAAGTTCCATACAGAATTTAGAAATCTTTTCTTAGTGCATGCCTACTCATAAAAGGCAGCTACTATCCAAATTTCAAATTTCTACATCAGGCGGTTTGGTCTGTGCGTTAATAAACGTCAGTCACTAGTACATCCTCTTTTATATATAGAAGAAATATTATTTTGTATTTTTTTATTTATTTAATTCATTAATCCCCATCCGATCCGTTCACTACTTCTTCTATTGTCTTATATGTATTAAACATGTGCTATTTCTACTATGTTGTTAGACGATGATATTTATTCTAAAATTACTTGTGATGACGGAGTTAGATCAAACCATTTCTTTAATTACGGCGACTATGAGTAATGCTAACTATCTGATAACTTAATATATATGGCGGATTACCATTTTATTTATGTTAAGATAAAGACATCTGTTTGTCTCCTGCTCACAATAGGAGAGGGATGGGCCCTAGCAATAAGCTGTTATGAACCAATACAGAGCAAGAAGCTTTATAATGGAACTTTGAAAGTGATTTTTCATTGTATAAAACCCATGTTCTATATTTTGCTTACAGGCTACAGTGCTGAGACGGCCGTAGCACTTGCAGCACACCAACTCCTAGAAGCACCCGTACCAATCGTACATGACTACGAATACGAAGAAAAATCTTCCAGAAGTACACTAAGAAACACCAAGAAATTAAATTACACTACTGATTACAATAAAGAGGTCAAAAAGACTCCATCATACCCTATATCATACTCTACTACACCTAATTATGACGTTGCAACTCAGAATAACAACATTCAAACATCTACAGATCCTGTTGTTTCCAGTGACCTTCTAGAATCATTACTTCCATCAACAGGAGCTTTTAAAGCCTCTCAACCAGCAGGATTCACCGCTCCCACTATAACTAACCCAGGCTTGTCAGGAGTTTCACGTATTTTCGGTCCTTCAACGGTCAGATACTTAAGCACAACCGATCAAAATACAGCTACACATAACATCAATCCATTAGACGACAGATATACTGAGAACAGTGAAAAATACTTAAAAACACCGCCATCTACAATTCAATACGTTAGTACAATAAATAAATACACGGGAGATTCATATGACTCAACTCCTACAGACAGATATGTTGATATAAGTGAGACTTCACAGACTCTAACCCGAACAGATATCACAGGCAATAGAAGACCTACTACTGGAAGAAACTTCCCCGATATCGAAACACCCCAGACCTTCCCACCTCCAACGCCTTCAACAAATAGATATTTTGATACTAATAATGGATTTACTGGAATACCACAAGGGCCAAGTGTAATAAATGAACCTACAAGTTCTACTGACAAATATACAGATGGATTCCAAACAGCAGGACCATCTACATTAGATTATTTAGATTCAACTAGATACACAGGAACATCTCAACGGCTTAATCCTACAAATCGATTTACCGTTACAAGTGAAAAGTTTACAGATGTTTCACGGAGTCCAAGCCCATCTACAGCTACATACTTCGAAGATGGTAAGTACACAAGCATATCGCAGGATGAAACTCCGGTAAACAGTTTTATTGGTACAAGCGACATAGAACTGTCACTTAATACAGGAATATCAACAAACAAATATACCGATACAAATGAGAGATATACAACAGTACAAAATCTGAGCCCTACTTATACTTATACAGAAACAAGCGACAAATATAAGTCAATTTCACGAAGAAGAAAACCATCAACTACTTCTATAGAAAACGAAAACATTACTACCGAGACTCAACAAAGATAAATCCAAATATTCACAAAATGAAAGATACAGAAGCAAAGAAGACCACCTACAAATTAATAAATTAAACAATACAACGGAAGCCATATCGAGTTCAACCGGAAGATCAGTAGGTTCACGCAAGAGAAGGCCATCTACAAATAGCTATACAGCGCAACCCACAACGGATTCATCATCAACATTTGGATATACTGTCACAAGTGCATATACGAACGCACCTCGTAGGACTAGACCATTGATGTCAAAATACACGGATGTGATTACGGAGACCCCAGTAATTTTACAAAATTCCGGTCCAACTATTGGACTTCCTGATATAAGTGAAAAGTTTACGGAGACACCGTCAACAGTAAGACCCTCAACAGATATATACTCGGAAGCATTTGAAAAAACTACTGAAACGCCTTTTGTTTCCACTGACACTGTAATAGCTAGTAAGAAGTACTCCGAAGTATCACGAAGCCCATCTACTAGTACGTATGTAGAATCTGTGAAAAAACATGAGGAGTTGAATGAGGGTGATGTTTCAACAGATCGTTATTTTACTTCAAACGGTCAGTACACAGGCATTGTTCAAGATCACCAGAGTTCTACGGCCAAATACTTTACTACTGAAGAAAGATCTCAAAGTGTAAGCCCCTCGTCTACCAAATACCCAAGTACCACTGACAAATATGTTTCAGGGCCCATAGATGACTTTAGCTACTCGACTGCTGGCTATAGTCAGAGTCAGGAACCTTCGCATTTCACTAGGGAATATCTCTTGGCGTCTCCAGTTACTAAAACATACGACGGTAGGTGTTACTTTCTTTTATCTTTCCAAAAAAATTAATTTCTATTTCACTTTCGTATCAAATAAAAACATGATAAAAATTGCAGATGAATATCAATACCTATCACCGGTGAATTCCAATCAACCATCATCCACGACTAGAAAACTGGCCAGAAAGAAGACGATATTCCGAAGAATTTCCACAACTGCCTCACCAAGTTCAACCACGACAACAACAACGCCAGAGCCTCGCAGGGTTGCCTCGAGAAAACCATTTGAGAAAATTCGAAAAGTCCAGAAAGTGGAAGATCTTAAAAAGCAAACAGTTCAGGAGGAACAACAATTAGTGTCAGAAGAACAGCCAGTGAAAGAAATTCAAACAGCACAAAGGGTTCGGACAGTGCAGAGAGTACAGCCTGTAAGGAAAGTCGAAACGTCTGAACCTAATACAGTGAGCAGGCCTATAGGTAGCTATGATTATTACGACGATAGCGAAGAGAAAATAATACAGAAGTACGAAGAGGAGACAAAAGTGATCCTTCATGGAAAGGGTAAGTGTAACAGTTTACTCGGTGGTAGGACGCTTTTCCTGTCTAGGAATCCATCTGTAGCAGTACCTGCACTACTGCAGTGGGCAGTAAGATTGTTTTCACTTGAGCTTTACACAAAAAATATACAGAAACTGCAGGCAATGGACTTTTGTACCGAACTTTTAACAAAGAAGCCCACAGCCGCGTTGTTACTTACCTTATGTACCTTCCCAGAGGAAGGTATTTGGATAAAAAATGTATAAGCTCATATAATGTATTATTAATGGCTCTATTTATTATCTTTAAGCCAAAACGTTCCACTTTTATTTTTTGTGGTAGAACCACGCTGCAGTGGATCAATACTGTAGCTCGAATGGGTCGGCTCAGATAAAGCCACGCGCTCGTTTTGAGTGAGCATGATCTTTACCAGCATAAAATAGCAGCACAATGCTAGCAGCATACATATTTGCATGGTAAGTGACGGGTTTTATTACTTTTATATAAACTATCTCTTAGCTGAGAATTTAGAAGATATCATATAACAATTATTTTATACTTTTTCGTTTTTGAGATCGACTTTTCCATCATTCCATCAATTACAGCCCATAAAAGACTACCGCTGAACAAAGCGGCCCCATAGATTGCCTCGTATAGGATATACGGGATACTACCATAGTTGCATAGGCATGCCGCAGTTTTTTTTATTATTTTATAATTTACATTTAGTATGATACACATATATAATGTCTGGAAGAGATCGCTCTTAGCGATATGACCGTCATTGTACCACATTTCTTTCTCTCTTTTTTTTTGTTAATATTTTTTGGCGTGCAATAAAGTGTGTATCTATCATCCACATAAGTACTGCTTTACCATGTGCTCGACGGTGATGGAAAATATCTTGAGGAAACCTGCACCCTGGTTTGTCTTGGGTAGGATTTATTAATGTGGCATTTTGAATAAAACTATTATTTACGGATTTTATCGCGTTTAATTACTTTAATTTATTTTTATTATTATCCCGAATAATAATAACAAAAATAACGTCGTTTCAACCAATTGAAAAGAAACCAGCGGGCTTCGGTCCTCTTAATCCGGCCCCGAAGGTCCAATTGAAAAGAAACCAGCGAGGGGATTAAGAAACAGAAGGGAGGAATCGAGGCTTCTCTCGATCCGGCCTCCTATAACGTCTACGTTGGGTTCGGGAACAACGTATGTGATCTCCGCTGGCGGAGTAACACACAAGGGCGATAACCTCTTCCTTTTCAGCAAATAGGTTCAGACGGGGATTACGGGTCTTCCGAAGTCGTCCCGGTCCCAACGCCTTAATTCTTCGATGTGGATTGTATAAATTTGAGGGATGAATTTCTTGGGAATAAAACAGCAATTATCTTCAAACCGTTCCGTGAGAGAGTAATTACTTTTCCATATCACTTCCCTACACTTTTTCTTTCTTCTTATTGACTGCTGGTCTGACTCCCGAACTTCCCGAACTTCCCCGAACTTTTTTCCCGAAGTTTCTCCGAACTTCCCCCCTTCCAGAACTTTCCCGGAGGATTCCCGGGATATAAAACGTCGGGATAATAAAACGGTCACGGGAGGTTTTATTCAATGTGTAGTGTTCGCGTAAATTTAAGAAATCATAAGGTGGCTTTGTATGTTTTTTTAAAGTCTAAAAAAATCTCCAAATTTTATGTGTAAAGTATAGGCAACAACGTGTAAAAAATAGTCACTCTTGACGCTGCTCTCCATCTGTTCGTCAAAATAATCATCTATCATCGTCATTGCTATCGGCTATAGATTAGCCGCACAGATGGACATACAGACAGACAAAAAATTTTAAAATGGTAGTTATTTTTACAGAACAAACACTTCAATTTTATTTTTACATATAGATATAGTTATATTTGATGACGTGTGGTACACTAACATGCAATAAGCAGCGCGGTTGGCACTTCTTTGTTCTAAAACAAAAAACATTCTTAGAAATGATAGTAGAACTGTGCCCAGAATATGGACGTATATAGACTGTATTTTTATGATACATATGTACGAAAAAGTGATGGATAGCATTTTCTTTGAATTTCACGAACGTACAACGTGACAGAAGTCACAATACCACCCACACCATCTTCATGCTTGGTGGTCCACCACTGTATATTTTACTAGGAGTTTTCTTCCTCGCACAACCTTTTTGTGGAATTGTTTACCACCGACGATTTTTTTGGACCGATACGACTTAGGGACCTTCAAGAAAAGAGCTTACTCCTTTCTAAAGCAACCAGTAACGCACCTGGAATTCACCTGGTGTTGTAGTTGTTCATGGGCCGCGATAGTCACTTAACATCAGGCGAGCCGCATGCTCGTTTGCCGCCTGTACTGTGTTATAAATAAAAACTTTTTTCATTAGTCACTTCTTACTACACCCACGAAACGAAATGGCGAGAGGGATTCTCTTGCCCCGCCATAACATGAGAATCATAATCTTAAGATGTCCGATTGTTAATTTACTTACTACTCGAATTTACAGGTAACCTAGAAAGTTTTAACATCGGCAACTTCACTCATCCATCATCATGCAAGAAGTTCATATCATGCTTCCTTATCATTTCACAGGTAACATAGAATGCTTAGACATCGGCAACTTTCCTCATCCATCATCATGCAAGAAGTTCATATCATGTGCTCGCATGGAGAGTGGCGCTTTGCTGGGCTGGGAATACGTCTGTCCTAAAGGCCTGTCGTTTGATCCAGTCGGCAGCATATGCAACTGGTCCGCGGGACTCGGATGTAACGAGAAAGACTCATAAATAATTTGTTTTGGCTAATACCAGAGTTGTCTTTGTCAAATTAATAAACATGCTATAGACAGCTCTTACTCCGTTAAAACTTCCATTTTGAAATTACAAGAACGAACAAAGAATGTATTAAATATCATATAAATTTGGGAAAAATTGTTGTGGAAAAGAAAGCAAGTAACGGATTTTTTTTTGATGCAGACACGATATGTTAATTACTTTATAAGTTACTCTGCGTTCCTCTTTTAATTAAATACTCTCGATAATTTTTTCAATTTATAAAAAATATCACTGTAGTTGTGATAAAAATCTCGGTAAATTAGATGTGATATTTAATAATTATTGACTGATTAAAATTTTTATAGAAAAAAAAATGGTGCCGTAGCCATATTTGACTGATATATTGGCTTTGAACAATACATCAGTGACACCTCAATCTATGTTAATTATGGTTCTTATGTAACTACAATATGACCCGTTTACTAAAGGTGGATAATGTAGTTTTTGTAAGATGATCCAACACGATTGCCGGCCAATTGTGCATTTGACTTGGGTGACCACTCAAAATTTAAACGAATTGTGATGTAAAATTAAAATGATATTACTGTTTAATTTTAAATGGCCACCCATCTGAAAGGATTTGTACTTTTATAGTTTTCCGTCTAGCCTAACCACAAATATAAAAACCAAACTTTATCAAAGTTATATATCATAATACATAAACCAATACTCATAATTCTCACTCCTTATCAAATTCCTATCATCTAAGATCAAGAGAAATTTAATGTCATTCTATTTATCAGATCATTTGGGTATTTTTAATGTCATATATGTTTGATATTCTTATAAACATGGAAAGTTCAACCATAATCACAAAAGTAATTGGACTGGCTGACCTACATTGTCACGAAGACAAATATAACAGTAATATCAACATATTTGACCTAAGCTACCCACAATATGGAAAAGGTTTTTATGTTCCTGGTAGGGCTATATAGTTATTATGTATTTTATTATTAAATTATAATTAAACTCTTTTTACTAACACACATTTCAATGTACATTTTTTTACTCACATAGTTATACTTACTAGTGGATAGTTACACCTGAAAATAGGCATGTAACATAAAAACAAACCATTTTCATAATGTGCCTTAATTATTTTTAATTTTTTATGATTATAAGTTTAATGTGATTATAAATAAAATAAAAACAATACTCAATCCCGTCTTTATGTAAACTACGCCTCTTCCTTTTAAGAAGTACAGATGAAGCTGTGAATAGTTATTAGAACAAATACAGCTATGGTCAAATATACTAGGAAGAGTTATTCATCGGTTAAGCCCTAGGGATAAATATGACAGAACTCAATTAAACTTATTTTATCATTAATTTGTAATCGTATTATAACAGATCTCAATATCAAACCTCGCATGGCCGTGTCAAAAAGCTTCTATCTAGCACGACCTTTGAGTATAGAATACTCAAAGGGCACGACCTAATATACCATTAAAGTATTATTTTGCATAAATATATATCGCAGAAAAATATAGAAATCCTCCGTGAACGTGACAGCAAGTATGACACAAATAACTACAGACTTCCAATTGTCACGATCCTGACACACCTTTGTCGCTTCTTTCACATCCATTCATCTGCGCACATTTAAGTGCCATTGAATAATGCCCTTTTACATTTTCACTTTAAAGTTCTATTTTGCATGAATATATATTGCAGAAAAACAGCAACTCCTCAGTTTTCGTGCCAGAAACCATGACACAAAAAAAACTACTGACTTCTATTTGTCACGACCCTGACACACATCCGTCGCTTCTTTCACATCTATTCATCTACGCAAATTTAAATCCCAATGAAAATTACCCTTTTGCACTTCTAATTTAATTTTATTTATTACTAGTGACTAGTGACTAGCGACCTGCCCCGGCTTGGCGTGAATAGGATGTAATTGATATTTATTATTTATTTTATATATTTTATTTTATTATTTATTGATATTTATTATTATTGATTTTATTAATGATAGGATTTTTCAATATCAAAGACCATTTGTTAAATAAAACACGCTAAGAATATTTGAACCAGTAAAACTGGATTATTAATTAAGTGCACTTAAAAACGTACTTGCGATAGCCAAGTTCAAAATGGAAGAGAGACAAGAATTCAGTGTTGCCACTGAAAACTGTTGATGTTTTATTGCTCTTCTGATTCTATAAAACATTTTTTTTCTTATTTAAGTTATAACTAAATATTACTAATTCTATACTAATGTTATATGAAGCTGTTATGATTCTTATAAAACGAGGGTTTTCGACTAATTTAAATATAAGCCATCATTATAATTCATTCTTTCATATCTCTTTTTCTCTGCTAGCCCCTTTATCTAAGCCTTTGTTTGCTTCTCTGTTTCTTTGATTTTGCCATTTCAAAAATACAGATCTGAAAAAAATTGTGAAAAAACATAGTGGGATGCAAATGCTTAGCCCAATTCGTACCTTTTTAAGATAGTAGATGTTACTTTATAGGCTTGGCTAATAATGTACAGTTTTAATATATTTTAAAATATCTGGAACACAAAATCTCAATTCTGTAGCAATTCAATTTATGGTGAATTTCAATTCAAGGTGTGGGTTGAATCTAATTCATCTGACCCGCTCAAATTCATCTGGTCATATGAGCCAGATGAAACCAGACTAATGAGGGCGAGACAAATGAGGAATTTGAAGAAAATAAAAGCCTGTTCCTCTATTTACAATTGTACGAAATAAAAGAGGTAATAAATAGTGATAAATAATCTTATAGCAGATTATGTTTTCGTTACAAAACGTGTAAACATGTGTACAATATCCATAAACGAAAACAGATTAATTATACTACTTACCTTACAAATACCAAATTACGAGATCCTATCTTTATTTTTTCGGTGCAATACACGTCGGCACGAACGTAACGTATTATGAGTCGAGAGTGACTGGCGCGAACAATCAATAGTCGGGATAATTTAATAGAATATTTTGATAATACTTTAAATTCATGCTTCGACGTACTGAACCAGATAAATGATTAATCAACTTTTAACGTTATGTTATTCCGAGAACATTTACTTATTTTGCATCTAAATATGAAATGATCAAGAATTAGATATTCAAATATCGATATAACGTACTTATTTTAGTCTATTGCGAAAGGTAATTTCAGAAAATAGTATATTTCAACAAAAAACGTCCTTTGGACGCGCCAGATATTTTAAGGTTTTCTGTTGAATTAAATGAGTTTATTTTAATTAAATGCATACAGACCTAGATAGCCATTTAACTTGAAATGGATGTTTAAATAGGATATTATTTTGATGTGTTATTCAATGAAAATCATGTCAAAACTGCCTTTGAAAGAATCATCCCTATATATAAATTTACCTACTTTAATATTTATGTGTTCAATGTATTGAACACCATTTATTTTATGAATTTTTCGATTTCTCAAAAAAATAAAAAGTTTTTTGGATAAAATGTAACTTAGATCACTACTGGCATTGCTCGCCATCTGTTAGTCAAGTTTTATTACAATTGGTTGAGCTAACGCCGAGAGTAGCCCGCACTGACAGAGAGAGTCGAAATTTCAAAAATGGTTATTCGTGTCCTAATGACATAAAAATTACATAGCTCAATAAAAGGCAAATGATTTTATTTTTCGATAATATTATTACACACTTCAATTTTACTTATAAGGCACGTGGGGGTAATACGGTCACCTTAGGTTTTGACGCCCTGTACAACCAAAACTAGGAGGAGAAAAGAGACAAAAGCACAAAGTCGTATACTATAATTAATATCTTAAGAAAATAAATAGCAAACAAGCTTAGGCAATAACTAGGAAAACTTCGAAAAATCAATCTAAAAAAAATACTAATAAAAAAAATAATAATATAGACACTACACAATACTAAAATATACGTAGACAGAGAAACCTATAGACTAATGATCAGCGTGGCCTCTAGTGAGAAAGAACGATAACGTAGTTTTAGGTTATACAATAATCTTTATGACTTTTAAACATATTTAGATAAAATTTTTAATTGTTCTAAGAACTGAACTGAACAAGATTCACCAATCTTAAGCTCACAAAACACTTTTTTCTCACTTAAACCAATTGTAAACTCCTTAGATTCCTACGAACTGTCAAAGTTCAACAAACAAAAAACCGGCACGGAAAAAGGGATAAACAATCACAACGCTCTGTCTCATTTCTATGCAAGACGTATGCATAAATCTATATTTTTCGTGTGCGAATGCGAAAGAAGGCGTCAATTTGTCTATAGGTTTCTCTGTCTACGAAAATATACTAAAATATTTACTATAATGTCAACTGTCAAAATGGCATCATCTAGCAGTGATCTTTTGACCCTTAAATGCGCGATTTTTTATTTTATCTGAAATAAATATATGTTACAGATTCGAGGTCATAAAATGAGGGAAAAATAATAAACAAAAATATTTTAGTGATAGTTCAATTTATTTAGAGTGAAAAACAGTATGTTGCCAAATGGCAACATTGCGCGTTTAGACTTATAACAAAGTTATGTATTAGAATAAAGATTGATGGTATTCCTGGATTCAAATCTTCTGATAGCCATAAAACTCAGTAAAACAGTTTCTTTCTTTTGTGTGACACAATGCCACTTGACAATTGGTGCACTCTATGAGCCAGAAACTTTTATACAGGAAATTTGCAACGGTTTTTTCTTACATCGTTTTTCATTATGTGCTATCACATTAATTCTAATGTCCTTTGTTGGCGCGTATTTCATTGCCTTCCACCTTTTTTCAGTTTCAAATGCCTTGTCTATGTTGCTACAAGATGGCCTCTCTATTTTTACTTTAGAATTTTGTATTTACATAAACGTTTGGCTAATTTATTTAAATACAAGACTGTGTACTCCCCCAGTTCATTATTTTTGAAATAAACTAAAAAGAGCATAAACTACCACCACCATAAATAAATTACATCAAACATGCGGGCAATTTGTCATTAAAAAGAAATTACTGAGTGAACGCGTAATGTAGACAATTAGCAACATAGCTGTAATAGCGAAAATATATCTAGAAATAGTTTCCAAGTGGCTTTCTGTAATAAAATATCGATATTTTACCTCTTTTCAAATATGTTCATAATTGTTGTACTTAAAATTACGTCTTTTACATATCAGGAAACAATTATCAATCGACGAAATAATAGCGGCATCAAAACGTTCCACCTTGACAGAATAAAGTTGTTTTATTTTTTAATTTTCAACCAATAACGATTTTACATATGGTTTCTTTTATTGTCAATGGCTAAACTGACGCTTTACATGTATTTAGAAGTTAAAACATGTTGAATTTGTTATTTTTACCAAAATTAAAATGTCTGTAGACAAATGGCAACAAAGCGCATTTAAGGGTTAATATTTTATTGACTGATGAAGAGCTATGATATAATATGATACGAATCATAGAGCCATCTATGCAAACAAGGTTGTAGTTTTTGAGTTATATGAAAGTGACCATATTAACCGGCTGACCATATTACGCTCACGTACTATATTTATAGATTTATATAAATAATATTGAAGTGTCTGTTTATAATGTTGAAATAACTGACATTTATCAAACTCAGTTATGTGCATACTTTTAAAACATAAATAACCATTTCAATATTGTCTGTATGTAGTTTCCATGCCTTTTTTCATAGAAATTATAATACTGTTGGCAACAAAAAGCACATATGCACCTGACAGTACGTGGACTCTGTGTACGGAAGTCATCCATCCTCGATAAAAAATGCAAAATGCATTGTCACCCTCGCGGACCGTGGTCTGTGGTTTTCCACATTCATAGAACGAAACACAGCGGCAATAAACTGCTATTTCATGCTGGTATTCTGTGAGAAACTAATAACTAAAATAAAGTGAC